CGGAGATACTCGATCGACGATATCACGATAAAAGAAACCGAAAGGGACAGAAAGGCGAAACAAGACGGAAGAGGCGGGAAGAGGTATGTGACGAACGGCGTATATTTCATCGAAGTGTGCGCCAGGAGGTTTCGGCAATGGCACCCAGGAATCATGGACTTCGGCTCGGCTACGAAATTCGCCGGAACAGATGCGACTTCGGGCTCGATACAATGATGTCGAAATAAATCAGTTTATCGAAACCAGGTAGGTGGGAACGTTCGGCTGTATCTACAGTGGTCTACGAGGCATTGTGTGTTGCACCCGATCAGTGGCTCTCAATCGTCGCGAGTGAATCGGAAGCCGAGCGAAGCCGAGAGAAGCCAGGAGGAAATAAAAGACAGAAGGGGGATGGAAGTTTTAACGCACGACTCATCTTAAAAGCGCTCCCTTTCTACGAGGGAAGAAAAAAAAAGAACTTCTGTCTCTTCGATAGCGTGCTTTACGATCAAGAAGCTCCGCTCCAAAGAAACGCTATTCGCTTTTTGTTTCCTGCGAGTGCTACTTTACTTTGCTGGGAAAACGTCGGAGGTAAATGTTTCTCCTGCGTACTCCTGCAAGCTGATAATCGAACTCGCGGATTTCTCTCTGAAACTCGAAGAGAAGTTCTCGCGTGTGTGAGAAGATGTTTCAAGTTATTCGTGGCTGTGTTTGCGGTGGCAGCAGATGATACAGGCAAATTGATACGTGTTTTAGACGTTGTTGAAAAGATAACGACGTACGAAGAGAGAGAGAAACCCTGACGCGAGACTCACTCTCGAACGTCTACCTGACATTTAGCTTCGGCTAGTCGGATATTCGTCGTATGACGAAATCCGATGGTCTGATCTTATCTATACCCCGGATTCTTTCCAATATCGATCCGAACGGGTCGTGAAGTAGCAGCTGCCGAGCTCGTCGCAAACTTCATTAAGATCGAGTATCATTTAATAAGTTAGAAAACGGCACAATAACCGAACTGCGCGTCTCGATAACCAATATGATATCAATTTTATCAAAGATATATATATATATATATATATGGACAATCCAATACGAAAATTTCGTCTCAAAATCTTCTTCCACAACTCTTCTCTAACAGTTCGCCGATTGTCTGCGTCAAAGTTCCTTGCAAGCACGATGTAGCAGATACCTGTAAAAACATTTATTTCGATCGAAAATTATCCAAAGAATCTTGGCGTGAAGTGAGAATTAAATCTTGGCGTGTCACGGCTCGAAGCAATCTACATTCAAACTATCTTCATCGGTAAAACGGGGGTTTTCAATCCTCCGAATGCGAAATACGATGGCTTCTAAATCGTTTGATGTTGTACGGGAAATCTGCGAGCCTCCTGTGAGAAAATCTTCACGGCAGACTTTTTCTCGTCGGTTTTTAATTTGCTATAGCGGAGACTGCTCGTTTTGGATGTAGCGAGAGACGCGGTCATGGACCGGCGTACCATGTGCACGCATCGAATATAGTAGCGAAAGCAGCTGCAGGATCGTGACACGCGTCTATTGTCGGTGTTCCGTCGCATCGAGACATGAAAAATCGCCTCCCCACCCTGGGCGTCCTTGCCCTTTTCGGCTGACCCAGTCGAGCTCTCTCGTCGCGTTGGGGATGTTTTCACCTGGGCCACGACATTAGAGAGACGCTTTTTGGGAAAAGCGAGGGGTAAAAGTGGAAACTTTTCCTATATTGTATTTCGTATATCCTGCCTTGGTCGTCGTCTCGTGTGAATCGTTCTCAAATTTCCTTCCGATTCGTTTACGTAATCGTAATGGATGTTCATTAATACTCGATGATATCGCGTGCTTTCGTGCTTGCTAATGTGTTGCATGATATACTTTGAAGACATTCAGCAGAAATGAACTCTGGAGGGAGTTTCATAATCATAGCGATTCATAGTTCAAACTAAATTAAAAAAAAAAAAAAACTCTCGATCCTGTCGAAACCAAACAAATCCATTTGTAGAAATAAATCGAGCCCATCGTTGCGAGAAGCAAGGATGGTATCAACCCGATCGGACGGACAACGGGCTGCTGAAGCAAGAACCGTGAAAGTGATATGAGAGTTCGGTAACCG